TCTTCATTTGGCCATGGAAGCTTGCTGGGTGATCTTGGGCCGATCCCTCTTTTCAGCCTAACCTACTTCACAAACTTGTTGTGAGGGTAAATTTGAGGATGCAAGAATGATGTATGCCTCATTGACCTCCTCGAAGGAACAGTGGGCTAAAAAGGAAGTATTAAATAATTTCAACTCTGTGACAAACACCACTTTCACTTTATAGACCATATAAGCCCAACTTCACCAGATCTATCTCTTTTCATCTAATGAACAGATTTCTCTGAACTGAGGCTTAATTCCATGATCCATTGAGACTGTGCCAGCTGTCTTTTTTCATTAGCCCACATGGAGCTTTCCCTCTGTTGCCATGGTCATCTGAATACCAGTGACACAGTGAAATCAGCACAGCTCAGGTTTTGGCCACTGGCCACTGTCATGCAAACCGAATATGCTTTGGCAGTCCTTCAGTTGACTCAGCTCATAGTAGCAGGGCAGAAACCCAACAGACACAAAAGCTGAGGCTGTCCTCTGTGCTCAGAAGGCCATTTGATGAAGCTCAGTACAAGTGTCCCAACTTGCAGACTCATATCAATAATGAATAATCATATGTATAACCAAAGCCTATAATTTTAAGCACATTTGTTTGGTTTCACTAAAAGGTGTATGTCAACCATCTACAAGTATGATGACTGGCCACAAAAAATAGAGTCCTTGGAAAAACGTCAAATTGAAAAGCTTTCCCAAGACAAGTGGAATGTGAAGGAGGGAACAGGAGCCGTAGCTGATGCTGCAGATGAAGAAAACTACTCTCTGACTGATTTTTGGTCCTATTTAATTGTACATCAGTTGCTAACTGAGGTGAGCAGGGAGAATAAAGCTGAGCCCCAAACTCAGTGGGGTAAAAAATCTCTTGAAGAATGGAAAGAAAGTCAAGGTTTCCATACCTACTAAAAATAGCAAGGTTGCCAGCCAGCTGCTGGCAGCCAGTGGGATTCTGTGTAGGGTAGGGTTGCCGGTGTGTGTGGGGGGTGTCCTTCTTGTGCTGTGTTCAGGCCAACATGCCCGGCACGATGATGTCACCCAGAAGTGACATCATTGCACAGAGCACATTGTGAGCAGGGCCTCTATCCTTCAAAGAAAAGCCATAGAGTTTTTCCTTGAATAATAGAGTGTCCTCCTGCAACGATGACATCACCTCCGGGTGATGTCATTGCACTGGGCACCTTGGCCCGAATGCGGCACTTTGGGGGTGGGGCTCCCCCACCGGCCAGATTCAGGCCGGTGGATTCGGGGCCCTAAAAGTGGGCAAACCCCTGCCCCACACAGGGGAATGGCAAGCCTAGCAGAGGGAGGGACATGGGAGGGTGCTGTCAGTGTGATGGTGTTGCATCCCCTCTGGCAAAAACCTGGAAGTGATTCCTAGAGCAGTGTGATGTCATTTCCAGCAGGAAACTGGCATCCATAAAAAGCAAACAAACAATAATATCTTCCTGAGGTTCTACCCCAATCTCCCAAATGACTTCTTGGCTATATATTTATATAAATTTAACTAAAGCACTACACACTTTTTACTGTACCTTCATTGATATATGCTATAAACCTGTGTGACAATGGTACTTCTCATAGCAGGGTCTCCTTAGCAGTACCCTGACTCTCAAGCATGTGATCTGTTATGTCTTTTGGCCCAGTCCTATTCTATTGCTAGGAACTGTTTCCAAAAAGGGTAGCGATAGGCACTTACCCTTATGGCACCTTCCAACAAGCAACAGAACATTTCACAGTTGCTTATGGGATAGCTTGAACAGATTCCAGTTAATCTGCTTTTATAATTTATTTTAATTTTATTTTAATTACATGTTTTGTTAATTATAATATATTATTATTATTGCATTATTTCTATTATTTGTGTATTATTCCTATTTTGGGTCCTGAGTATGTCTAGAATAGGGTTGCCAACTCTGGATTGGGAAATTCTTAGAGATTTGGGGGTGGAGCCTGGGGAGGGTGGAGTTTGGGGGGGAAGGGACCTCGGCAGGATATAATGCCATAAAATCCATCCTCCAAAGCAGCTATTTTCTTTATAGGAACTCATCTCTGTAGTCTGCAGATCAGCTGCAGTTGCGGGGGATCTCTAGGCCCCACCTGCAGTTTTACGGTCCTAGCCAAGAGAAAGGTGGGGAATGTAGACAACAAAATAAAAGGCAATGGTAGCCAGGGGCCTGTTGGAACCCAGTGGAGGGCCAGTTGGCCTGATTTGCCAGTTAGCCATCAATGAGCTAACATATCCCTTCAGAGCCTGGGCTAAGAACCTCCGCCCATAAAAAGAGAACTAAGAGTTGGTTGAAAAACACAGTTTAGTCAATTAAATTAACTTAATCCATTCTTTTTCAGTTGGATGAGACTGAACTTTCTTCACATAAAGTGCCTGCAGAGAGAGGGCGAGTTCCCTATCCTATCTACGCAGCTGTGGACAAAAACACTTACCATAAGCAATATGAAGGTAATTTCATATCTAGAGAGACTGTCCAGGAAAGAAGGAAAGACAGACAGACCGTTAGGGTGCGGTCACATGCACCAAATAAAACGAGGGGAGGGAAGCGAGGCTATTTCCTCTGGAAGAATTTGACCTGCAGCTGCACAATCACACCTCCCTTCGAAGCTGCAGGTGCAGTCCATCAGTGTGTGATCAGACGCAACTGTAGGTTGTGCTTAAATGAGGAATTGATGAACCGCACCTCCACACTGGGAGCTCCCTATGGAGTTTGTGATGATGTGCATACTGTGAAGGGGGAAAAAACAATGGCATGGAGTCGGGATGGCCTGATCAAACCATCTTGACACCATGAGAGCTTGCTGGAGCGATCAGATACAGGAAAGTCCCTCTGTGGCCCATCACAACCTGTTTACTAGCAGATTTTCCCTGGTGTCTTTTAACTCCGCTTCTGCGGCGGAGCAGAATGGGTTGCCGATGGCTGCGGTGCTCTTCCCAGTTATTGTTGTCTGATCGCGCCCTTTAAATCCACATGGCATTTGCACCTATGTTGGGTCTAATTGTGCGTATGATCGCAGCCTCAAGGGTTTTAGCTAACAAATGCTGAATAAATAGAACCCAGTTATGAAAAAAGTTAGTGAATTTATTATATGCTGTATTCAAAGAGTTTGAGGGCAAGTTATTACAATTTAATAACAAACCCAAATTACACTGGTAAAACCTTCTTTTTTCACTCTATCATTACCTGCCCAGCCACCAAAAGCTAACAGGAATTGTGATGGCTATTCCTCTTTCTGCTTGAATTGTATTTGATCTGCTAATTATATGAGCATCCTCTATAAGTGATAGAAGAGATAATTTGTTTCTGGCATTCTGTACCAGCTTGCAATATTCTGAATGCAAACCCTCACATTACTGCTTGGTGGGCAGATGGCAGTGTATGGCCCAAGGAACTTCATGAGTCTTCCATAATTACCTGCAGGTGAGAATGGGGTTTTCTTTGTAACTCACACCACCAGTAACAAAACACAACTCAATTTCAGATAGAAAAATGGAAGGAAGAATAGTTTCTCAGTAAGACATTCAAGTAACAAAGTTCTCACTTTATTCCAACCTGCCTCTGCTGCCTGGCCCAATGAAGGATGATCCACAGCTGCACAGATGATCCCATTGCCTGCCTCTGCGTCATGAACCTGGAAATCCTTAGTGGTTTCCCTTACTGACCAGGGCTGACCCTGCTTAGCTTTCCAGAAATGATGAAATGAGGCTAGCTTGCACTATCCATGTTAGGGCAAACATTCATCTCATGAGTCCATTATTTGTGATTTTTGTGGGCATTGCTAGTCTGTTTCTGGAAGACCTGAGCTAGCATCAGCTTCACATGCTTCTTCAGAAAGTTGAGACTCTGAATTCATTGCTGCTGACATCTGACTGACCTCCTCCTCCTGCTGCCTTCAAACTGCATTAGATTTACTAAAGAGAATGAGACAAACATCCCGGCCTGTTGAGGTTTTACCTTTGTTTGTATAAGTGATTCTTCCTGCAGTCCCCAGTTTCATTGAGCATGTGGGTGTTTTAGGAATGTAGAGAGCAGGGAGCGGGTGACAGTACTACCACAAAAGGGCTGCCACGGAGGGCACTTTTGAAATGTTTGGCATGGCAATCCAAGCATCCTCCTACAGTTAAGGCAGCTGTTTTTGAGTGGGTACCCCTTGGAGACACAAAGGTCAAGGGCTGTTCTGGATCACTTTCTGCTCCAGTGAGGTAGAGGAAAGCCTGGACTAGCTGTTTGCTTTGGGGAAGGGATATTTTGTCAGTGATCCAAATAGGTACCAAGAAACCACAATGACAGGTGCCGTGGTTCGAGTAGACCTTTCTTAGACTCTGTAACTGCTTCTGTCCGATTGTCACGCAAAGTGAATAACATTGTGGCTTTATCATGTTTAATTTGTCTGGTTTGCCATACCAAGAAGCTGTGAAATAAAACCATTTTTCCAGAAAAGATGAATGGCATCATGGGTAATTGGTAGCTGGGCCTTATCTATGCTGAAGACTTGAAGACAATTGCAATTATGATGATATTTGAGCAATTAGGGGTGTGCAAAAGCATACTTTCAACACTTATCTATAGTTTTATGGAAAATGTACTGTGTGAGTAAAGTGTCATCAAGTTGCAGTTGATTTATAGTGGCCCCAACAAGGGGCTTTCAAGGCAAGTGAGAAGCAGAGATGGTTTGCCATTGCCTTTCTCTATAGAGCCTTCCTTGATACTCTCCCTTCCAAGTATTGACCCTGGTTAGCTTCTGAGATCTGACAGATTCAGGCTATACCATGCCTCCTGCCCTCCCAGAAAACGTCCTACCACCCTCAAATTCACTACAGACATTTCACCCACTTATGACTCTTCAAATTCGCTTTGGATTCTGTTTCAGGTGGAACTGGGTGGCAGTTTTATCTGTACTCCACTTTGCTCATTGTTGTTTGCTTGTACAGTTCTCATTAGCACTTCGTTCTTTCATTTCTCCAGGCACCTGGTTTGAATTTACCCCACATGAAGTTGGAGTTCCTGGTCTAGGAGCATATGTAGACCTCAGATACTTTGGGAGTGTTTTTGAAAATCGTCAACTTAAAGAAGAGAAACCACAGAAAAACATGTGCTATCTGCAGGGTATGTCATTTGCAACTTGTTTCTGGATAGGCTGGCACTCTGAGCATGCCAACCCCCCATGCAGGTTTCGACAAGATAACCAGAGTCTGTGTTGGCATGATCAGCCTATATGTGTGTGGAAAGCATCTGCTTGTGCGGAGTAATGAATGCAAAAGTAACATTTGGCTCGGATCCAACTGAACTTTCTGCTGGTGAAAAGGGAGGGAGGAGGTCCTTTTTGACAACCGAAAAGGCTCTACTGGTGATCAGTAGGGTGGGACTGTCATAAGGAGGAGAATCTGACAAGTTTTAATGAAAATACTGGCTCAGGGCTGACTGGAGGTTGGACATCTGCCAGGGTCCAGGGCTTCTGGCAGGGCCCACTGCCACTGACCCCCCCCCATCTCCAGTCATCTCTGCCACCCAGATGCTTACTTGCAAATGCTCCACCTCCTGTGTTCCTGGCTTCCTGGCTGCTGCCACAGAACAGTGCAGAGGTGATACAAGCAGTGCTCCTGATGGCCACAGCAGTGGTCCTCCCATCTGCACACACCACTCAGTGGTGTTGAGGAAATGGTGTGCAGGTGACTTTTGAGAGTGGATAGGAAAGAGATGTGAGCAGGGGTCCTGATGGTGGTCAGAGAAGTGGATGGGGATCCCGGTACTCTTTGCCCAGGGCCCCTCAGAACTTGGAACCAGCCTTGTGCTGGCTGGATCCAACCCTATATCCATAATCCACACATTGCAGCCAAGCATATCAGGTTCAGTTATGGGGCTCAGATGTAACATAAACTCCCTGTCTAAAGCACTAGATAGATTTTAATTTCCCCACTTTAGACACTGAATGCCATTTCAAGGACAAAACTGAGTTCGCTCAGTCACACCTAGGTCTAAGTTCGTTATAATGACAGCTGACAGGTTGGATCCAACCAGCTTTAACTCAGTCTATCTCAGGCATGCTAAGTATGTGTCAAAACAAATTACCTTTGACCCTTCGATGCCATTTCTTCTTTGTTCACAGGTTTATGGGGAAGCGCCCTTGGCAGTGAGAGAGAAATTTATGAGTCTATAAAAGGTACTGATTTTCTGTGGCAACTGATTTTCTAGGCATCTCATTCCTTAAAACAGATTAGCAGCAAGTTGATTGCACCATCTGCTTTACCAGAGGTGTGAAGGTTTGGGAATGTGAACCCTTGATTGCTGTGGAGGCCAGGGTACTGTAGTGGTTAAGATACTGAGCACTGAGCTGAAAAATCCTGAGTTCCTTTCTTACAGCTTTAAACATATTGATTAGCGATAAGCAAGAGGCTACAAAATGGCTTCCGTGATAATAATGCTGCCTAGTATTGTAAGGCTGTTGAATGCACTGCTGGCATGATGTGTGTACAGCACACTGGACAATTAAGCTGCTTGGTAATAAAAGGGACTGTGATAATTGAGACACATTTTGGGGAAAGCCCGAAGAGAGAATTTGACACCTTGTTTAAACAGTATGTTGACTGGCACCATATTTCTTGTAATCTTGTTGTTGCCATATAGGAAACACAAGTCCCCATGCATGTGAATGTATGTATTTCTCTTTCCAGATTCCTTAGGTTTATTTCCAAACCAGGACAGATCAAGAACTGGAGATGAAGAAACTTGGGGCAAGTCATTAAGACCTTTAATATCTTCCCTGTCTCATCCTGATTTATTCCCTCTCCTCTATGACACCTTTGTCATGTCCATAAACTCTTACTTGGGAATTTTCCTTCATGCTAGCGCCATGGTCAACTTGCTCTTCTTTCTCTAATACATCCTAGAAACGACCCTTGACCAATCTGTACAAATGAATCATTTGCAAATAACTGCTTAGACTTATCAGTTTTATTTGACTAATGATGGTGCCTTCCTCTGGGGCTAGAAGCCTTCATCCAGTGGAAGTCATGTGTTCCACAGGTGGGAGGCCACCTATATCAGTGGAAGTCTTCTTGCATCAGATGAAGGCACTGTTGTTACAGGAAGAGAAGCTTTGCATCTAGACCAGTGGTCTAGAGCTTACATATATCTCTGAGAACTGAGTTCATTACATCTCATCTTGGATTTCAGATTATGTTTAAAAGGACTATTACTCTTCAGGCACAACAATTTTTTTTGTTATGCTGGGAATAGCTATAGAGACCAGTGGTCTAGAGCTTACATATATCTCTGAGAACTGAGTTCATTACATCTCATCTTGGATTCAGATTATGTTAAAAAGGACTATTACTCTCCAAGCACAACATTTTTTTTTTGTTATGCTGGGAATAGCTATACCTAAGTTTCCATAGCTTTACCTTTTCCCATGTCAAGGTTATACGTTGGATCCAACCCATTTTTCTGAGGGTGAAAAAGAGTCTCCATGGACTACCCCAAAAAAATGCTGTATTGGGAATCACCAGAATTGCATGCACAAAAACCATGTGGGATGGGATCTGGAGGAAAGTGGGGAATTGTGCAAGATCAGGTGGAAAAACTTGGCTGTCATTCAATCCTTTTCTCACTGTAGCCTTTATTAAGCTAATTTCCCCTCAACTGTAAAAAAAAAACCCAAAAACCCTCAATAGGCATATAATCTCTTCAAAACCATTTATATTATAGCACCAGAATTTAATATAACAATATTTTGAAGTGGTACAGCTTGAAAACAAAAATAATCCCAAACAAAGTTAAAATATATATTTACACCCAATAGCAAATTATCATCAAGTTGTTGTAAAAGTAATAGGTTTCCCCCCCTTACTTTCTGTGGAGCAAATTCTGGTATGAGAGCATAGGGTAATGTATGATTATGACAAGTCTTGATTTCAGCACTGGAATTTATTTACATGAATATTAGCGGTGTCATTGTGAGGTTCCCACCCTGTGTGAGGCTTGGGGCAATTGCCACTGCTGTCCCATTCCAAAAGGGTCTGTCTTTTACCTGCCCTGAGTGCAGGAAGGATTTAATATACAGGGTATATTATAAGTGAAGGTAGATATGAACATTCATCTCCTGTAGTCTTTGAAAAATGATCAATGCGTTAATGAACATAGGGCCGTGGTGACTCAGAGGTAAAGACACTGACCTGCAGACTGGAAGGTTGGTAGCTCGGCAGTTTGAAATGTGAGTGCCGTGTGGCGGACTGAGCTTCTGTCTCTGGCCCCAGCTCCTGCCAATCTAGCAGTTTGAAAGCAAGAAATTGCAAGTAGATAAATAGGTACCACTTCGAAGGGAAGGTAACAGCATTTCGTGCACCTCGGCATTTAGCCATGTTGGCCGCACGACCATGGAAAAGTCTTTGGCAAGCACTGGCTCTTCGGCTTGGAAACAGTGATGAGCACTGCCCTCTAGAGTCAGATCTGACTGGCTTTCAAGCAAGGGAGACCTTTACTTTACCTTAAATGAATGTAAGAGGGGCTAGAATTCAATCTGACTTTTTTAAAAAAGACATTCCCTTTAATATTATTGGAGGACACCTGAGGTTGGATTCTAAGAGAGCCAGTTTGGTGTAGTGGTTAAGTGCGCGGACTCTAATCTGGGAGAACCGGGTTTGATTCCCCGCTCCTCCACTTGCACCTGGCTGGATGACCTTGGGCAAGCCATGGTTCTGATAAGAGCTGTTCTTGAAAAAGAGCAGTTTCTGTCTGAGCTCTCTCAGACCCACCTACCTCACAGGGTGGCTGTTGTGGGGAGGGGAAGGGAAAGGAGTTTGTAAGCCGCTCTGAGACACCTTTGGGTAGTGAAGGGCGTGGTATAAATCCAATCTCTTCTTCTTTTTCATTAAAATCAATACTGTCCACTCAGTCTTACAGCAACTGACTAGGATCTCAGGCAAAGGTCTTTCTCATCACCTACTACTTGATCCTTTTAACTGGAGATGCTGGGAACTGAACGTGGGATTGTCTGCATGCCAGACAGATGCTTATCACTGAGACACAGCTCCTTTCCCAAGGTGAAAGGTGGTGCTTTCCTCCCTTGCAAGGAGCATCTGCTATGTAAAGCTGTTCCATGCTGCTGCGTGGCTTCCCATTTGGCTCAGCATAAAGCTCTCCTCCATCTGCATCAGGGTGCAAATTGTTTAGGGAGAGTGCGTGTGGGGGGGAGAAGTCTCCCAGGGGCACCAGCAGGGCACTGCACTGTGCTGCACTGCGGGGAGGGAATAGCACCTGCAGCCCCCCTGCAGAAAGTAAAGGGGGGTGACCTGGCAGAGGGGGAGGCGGGCAGGCGGGAGGAAAGATGGAATGAGCTGGGTAAAAAACACGAAACACCTGGCGGTTGCCAGGCAGGGCATGTTGGGGACTGCTCCAGGAAATAACAAATGGTTGTGGGGTGGGCGTGCTTCCAACCACCCCCTCAAAAAAATATGATCACAGAAAAATATTCCCTGGCTGCTTTTAAGGTAAAGGTTCCCTTGCTCGAAAGCCAGTCAAATCCGACTCTAGGGTTGCGGTGCTCATCTCTGTTTCAAAGCCGAAGAACCAGCACTGTCTGAAGACCTTTCCATGGTCATGTGTCCGGCATGACACCAAGGCGCATGGAATGCTGTTACCTTCCCACTGAAGTGGTACCTATTTATCTACTTGCAATTTCTTGCTTTAAACACAGACAAATGGATTTTCAGCTAACTTGTTTCCTTTGTGCCAATTTGCATATCTCTGAGCCCGTTTGGGGAGGGTGGTATATAAATCCAATATTGTGCCAATTTGCATATCTCTGAGCCCGTTTGGGGAGGGTGGTATATAAATCTAATAAAATATAAATAAATAAATAAAAAAGATGGGAGGGGATTCAGCTCCAGTTTTCTTCTTTTTGCTCACAGTGGGTCGAGGGTGGGGAGGAGCAATTGTAGTACCTTAAAACAAAATCCAGATAAGGTTGTGAAACACTGTAGTGACCTCAGAGTCACCACTAAATGCCAATAAAATGATGCAGACAGCTGATGCTGAGATGAAACAATAGGAGAGGGGATGCAGCATGAAATGCAGACAGAAATTTGTGAGATGATGTGAGATCGTTGGCACAATGGTGGGAAAGACGAATGCAGATTGGACCTCTGTGCAACACAGGAAAGCTCCATAGCAGAACAGAAACTTGGGATCTAGCCATTATATATTTGTATGGCTTTCCTCAAATTTGGTGGATTGGTGATTGATGAGATCATTCATTCATTCATTCATTCATTCATTCATTCATTCATTCATTCATTCATTCAATATATTTGATTAGCACTGGCTCTTCGGCTTGGAAACAGTGATGAGCACTGCCCTCTAGAGCGGGTAATAACAATTGGGAATATACGTTCTAAAACCTTCTGAACATTACAAATAAATGATTAATCAATTTCAATAAATACAATAAAATCAGTAAAAACAACTACTATAAAATCCAAGATGGCATAAAACTCACATAGAGGAGCAATATACATGTCTGATATGGAGGGAAAGCAGAGGTGGGGAGAAAGGAGAGGGAGGGGGAGGCCACAGCTAGATGGAATCTATCAACAAGGAGTCCATCAGTGCTCTCAACCATACGCATAACAGAACAACTCTGTTTTGCAGGCTCTGTGGGATTGTACCAGATCCCACAGGGCCCTGATCTCTCCCAGAAGAGTGTTCCACCAGGCTGGAGCCAGGGCTAAAAAGGCCCTTGCTCTGGTTGAAGACAACTGAATGCTCAAGCGTAACACTTTGTGGGAGATGTGGTGGTCCTGAAGGTATGCTGATCCCTGGCTTTTTAGAGCTGATTAGAACTGATACATTGATATCAGTGTATTGTTGACAGAATTATTATTTTACAATTGTTAATAAGGATAAGCTGAAAGCAGACAAGTATTTGTAATCCTGTTTCCTGCTGTTTTTCACTTCTAAGATTTTCAGGTTGTTAGCACATTCTATCAAGCCTATCAGTGTGTCGTGGAACTACATTTGCGTGTAGTAGATGGCAAAGAAGTGGATGCACTTTTTGACAAGCTGGAAAAACTCCTGAACAGTAAGTGGACTTTTGGCACAAGTTTTCCGAGCTTTGGGAAGGGGTTGTGATGGAGAAAAGAATCCTCTAATATAAATGTATTACTGGACATCGAGGCTGCATCCAAATGGCACTATTGATGTTGTTGCATCAATAGTGGAGCAGTAGACAACTCATCATAGAGCTTCTTCTATACAACTCCTCTTTTGGTATGAGTCATCTCTTCAAATCCTGCTAATACGGTAGTTAGTCTCCTTTGTTTCAAAACAGTCAGCACATCATCAAGGATTACAGGATAGGAGGTCAGTTGTGGTTAATCAGCATGCTCAATAACATGTTGACTCATCCCATTGGTCAATTGAGCTCTGTATTGTCTACTCTGATTCTCAGTGGCTCTTGTAGCTTTCTGGTAGAGAAAGGTCTATCCTGTTGATAGTGAAGCTTTCAGGAGATGCCACCTTCTACATGTAAAGGAGGGGCTGTACCGCTAAGCCAAAGCTTATTCCTTTTGAAAGTTTCCCAAATGTTATGTATCCCACATATTATTATGTAAGAACATAAGAGACGCCAATGTTGGATCAGGCCAAAGGCCCATCCAGTTCAACACTCTGTCACACAGTGGCCAGAAATACCAGGTGCCATCAGGAGGTCCACCTGTGGGGCCAGGACATTAGAAGCCCTCCCACTGTTGACCCCCCCCAAGCACCAAGAAGACAGAGCATCACTTGCCCCAGAGTCCCTATCTATACCTTGTGGCAGCCACTGATGGACCTCTGCTCGGTCAGCGCCGGAGAAGAACTCCCCCCGCACCGCGGGTGCCCGCCATGTACTTTCATGTTATGCACATTTACATTTGACTTATGTTTCTCATCCCTGTTCTTCCAAAATTAGAATCTTTCCCATAATTTTTCAAATTTTTAATATATAACCTATTCTGACATTGGCCTCCCATTAAAAGAACTGATCATATATAGTTGTTCCCCCACTAAGATGGCCTGTTTGGTATCCACTAGAATCCGTTTTTCTTTATAGTGATTCATCCCTTGTGAAATGGGCTCCTGGAGATTGTGGTGGGGCACTATCTTTAAAGTTGTTATTTCTTTAATCCTCATTGACAGTTTTTGATCAAGGTGGCTGGGAATAATAGAAGACGAACTCCAACTCCTAGATCTCTCCAAATTATCAGCAATAATTAAACAGAAACTATGAGACATTTCTCTCCAGTTGGACAGATCTCAAGCCCATTTTGTTCCAGAAGTGGGGAATTACAACCAAAACTTTGTTCCATCTTCATGCGCTGGAACTCCCCCAACATCGTAGAGTTTTTACCCTTGACCGACTAAATGTCCTTCCATCTGCCCTCCTTGATGGGAGATATGCTCGTATCCTGTATGAGAAATGTCTCTGTCCATATTATTCTGGTATAGTAGAAACAATTGAGCATGTTTTCTTATACTGTCAGTTTTACAAGAACATTTGGAATATATATATATATATTTGAATTTTATGTTTAGTATACCTTTATATTCATGACATATATTTAATGTATATGTCTGTTGATGATTCTGATCGGCTTCTGATCTTGGATCATAATAAATATTGATTGATTGACAGAAGTTACTAAGGGGCACTGTGGCTCCATTTTATTTAGGATGGGTTTAAATGGAGTAATTTGCAGACATTTCCTTGTGTAGGCAATTCCATCATGTTTTATTGCATTGTGTGTTTTTTTAGTCTTGGAATTGTAAGCTGATGTAGTGGATTGTGAAGGGGGTGCCCCTTGGTGCTGAGCTGCATCAACAAAACCCTTTGGTGTTTGCACAGCATTTGGGGGAAGCGGATAAAGATTGGCATCTCTCAGCACAGTACAGGCAGGGATAAATGAAGCTGGCAGATAGTGCTGGCTAAGCTTGGAGCCAGAGTAGATTTGCTCGAATATGGGTAGCTGCAAGCTGCCAATTTGCACCCAGATGATAAAGTAAGGTTATATCTGAGGAAGCAGATCAGCCATTTAAATCAACTAGTTTAACCCAAGTTTGGTTGTCTCATGTCTTCATTTGGGAGGGGGGATCAGTATAACAGTAAAAGCTTCCATGCACAGAGAAGAGAGAGACAGAGAGACAAAGAGACAGATAATAAATACTATATGCCATTAAAGGTTTATTGATTGATTGATTGATTGATTGATAGATAATAAATACAGATTTATAGATGTTTCACCTTTTCTGATAGGTACAATCATGCATGCAAATTCTCTACCAAAGTAATGAAATGAGTTTCAAATGTGATAAAGAAATAAGATATTCAGAAGGTAGAACAAATGGAAGGGGACGCTACTCACCAGAGATACCATCTTGGCTAGGACTTGCCTATGTGTCTATGTGTAGACAAAACCTGAAAATTCATCTTCTTTCCTTTCTTTTAACTTTTCTGTCTTTGTTTTTTAGTCTTGCCTTAATCCATTGCATCTATTTATCTTTTATAAAGCCCCCAAGACCACCAAAAGCTATGAAATGGTCCGAAAGATGCGTAAGACCTGGCCTTCTTCAGATGCAACGAAAAGAAAGAATGACTGTATCGGACTGGGCAAAGCTTTGGAATCAGATTTTGGAGGCAAGTAGCCTACTGTCCCTATATTTCCTTCTAGAAGCAGCTCTTCTCTAACATCTCCAAGTTGTCTTGGTGGTACCCATATTTGCTAATGTTATCTAAGCCAGTTAACCTTCTTTCTTTAGTCTTTCCTTATGTATGTCCAAGGGGTAATGTTTCCTCCATTTTTCTTCCTTACATTTTTTTTTCTTCTCCAAGTATCAGTGGAGCCATGAATGGCTGTACTACTAGGAAAATCAAGTGACATTTGTGGGGGAGATGGCAACCTTCTTTCCCATTCATCTGTCAACAGCCACCCATCCCGCTCTGCCATTACCTGCCTCCTTTGCCTCCTCCACCTGGTGCTGGGCAGCAAATCCTCCATGAAGACTGATCCCAGCATATTTGAAAACAATAGAACATACCATGCATTTGCCCTAAAGGGCTTCCAGAACACTCACAAAATTCTTTCCTCTCAAGCAATCACAAGGTGGCTGACCTTGTTTTGGCCCTAGGTTTTGCATGTAGGCTGCCTCGGGCAAACTAGTGAACGTCATCCACCCAGATAGAATCACCCCATCCCCAAAGCCATCAACATCAAACTGTCTTGAGAAGCTGATTGAGGAGAGGAGAGGAGAAAGTCACATGGGCTTCCATGGGCTTCTTGCTATGAATCATGAAGTGGTTTTCAAAGTGTTTTGCAGAGAACCTGGATTTCTTTAGAAGTTTATAGTGATTCCTTAAAAAAAGATTAGAAATAGCAAGCATACTTCTCTGAAAAATAGATCTCCTACCTTCTGTAATATGCAGAGAGGGAGCATTAGGTAAGTTCTAAGGCACATTCTAGGAGCTGCAGTGACTCAAGTGGTTAAGACACTGAACTGCAGGCTGTGGAAGGTCAGTAGTTCAGCAGTTCGAGACCCGGGTGCCGCATGATGGAGTGAGCTCCCATCTCTAGTTCCAGCTCCTGCCAACCTAGCAGTTCGAAAGCAAGACATTGCAAGTAGATAAATAGGTACCACTTCTGTGGGAAGGTAATAGCGTTCCGTGTGCCTTGGTGTTTAGTCATGCTGGCCACATGACCACGGAAACGTCTTTGGACAGCGCTGGCTCTTCGGCTTTGAAACAGAGATGAGCACCGCAACCCTAGAGTCGGATTCGACTGGCTTTCGAGCAAGGGAACCTTTACCTTTTTAAAGGCACATTCTCAAATCATACAGTGCCCAGAACTAGTATTGTCTCACATACCACCAAAACATGAATAACAGAAAATCCATACAGAACTTCTCATGCACTCTGACTTTTTCTGGTTTCCACAGGCTCTGCTTCCACCATGGTACTCTTAATGTGTAGAATTTTTATGGTACCCTTACTGTGTAGAAATTCTGTGCCAAATTGCACATTTATGACCTTAAAGAAAAGCAATATATAGGTATAACTATGAATAGCATAACTGCAGTCTACTCCAAAGCTACTTGTATGTGTGTATCTTCAAAGTCCCAAAATGAAATTCCCAAGGGTTCAAGAGTTTCTCAGTTGCTCTGACTGGCAACTTGTTTTGTGTCTACTAAGTTCATATGGCTTGACAGCAGTGTTCTCATCTGAAACCTTCGGGGGTATGATCCAGTAGGGTCCTCCTTCTAAGTTAAAACAACCAAGAGTGGCACCAAACGATTATGTTCTTTTCCTTTTACTGATAAAACAGTCCTGAAAAATGAAATATGAATATTGTTTTCAATGTTTTATGTGTCTCATATTCTTTTCCCCCCCTTTATGAAATCAAAATAGTGGAAAAGATGCTGGGCAAGCCCTTGAAAGTCATTAAAGGTAAATTCATCAACATTCGTATGACGAGCATATTTTGGTTGTTCATTTTGTCGGATGCTGCTTATGTCTGCCATCATATATGGACCATCTAGCACAGGGGTGTCAAACATGAGGCCCAGGGTCTGGATCAGGCCCCCGGAGAGCTTCTGTCAGGCCCACAGTGGAACTGGCAGTCTTCTGCTTCTTCTTCCAGTTCTGCTGCTGCTGCATCATCATAGGTTTGCAGCTTACAGAGACACACCTGAACAGCATACTCAGTATTGCAACAGTACAGACATTTTGATGCAATAATTCAGAGCAAGAGGTGTCAGTTATCAGACACTGTTAAATAAACAAAATATTGCAAGAGTGCTAATGTTTTAAGCATGATTTTATGTTAAACAAACCCTTTGTGTTTGTGTCCTTTATAAAGTTTATATCTCCACTACCTGGTATTACATTTTATGACACCAGCCCAACAAGGACTCATTTATGTCAGATCCGGGCCTCATAACAAATGTGTTCAACACCCCTGATCTAGCACTAGCCCTTTGTAATGGTTTTTATATTTACATGCTGTTTATCATTTTATCTATATATTTTTAGCTGTTTATTATTCCATGTAAGCCGCCCTGAGCCTGCCACGGTGGGGTAGAAATTAAATAAATAAACAATAAATATAATTTTATGTATATGGTGCATTATTTATTTATTTATTTAGGAGATTTTTATGCTACCTCTCCTGACTCCTACTCCAGATGGCTTACAATTTTAACTAATCAATAATAAAAAAAACCCAAGCAAACCATTAAAACTAGTCCAGGAACACAAAAACCACATAAAACTGGCCTCAGACCAGAAGACTAGACTTGGATCTGGGTGTCCCCAAGTCAAGTCCCTATTCTCAATTTATTTTATTTTATTTTTCTTTAAGAGAAAGTAGTGGACAAGATTGTGGAGAAACCTATGGAAGTAATTAAAGGTAAATTGCTGGAATTAATATTGCCCTTTATACTGTACTCCAATGTTTTTGGTTGATAGAGAATTATATTTGGATCTCAGTGTCCTGGCTTGTAGTTCCTCTTCTCATTTTCATATTCATTTTTTTTACTCTAAGATAACAGAGTTGTGGACACGGTTGTGAACAAACCTATGGAAACAATTAAAGGTAAGTTGCTAAGACTAACATGTTCCTATCAAATTTCCATTTCTTTGGTGGATTTGAGGGACCTGGCTAGGATTTAGGGGTCTTGTATTCTAGTTCCTCTTCTCAGTCTCTCTTTTTTAAATTTAAGATAAACTACTGAAAAAACCAATGGAAGTAATGAAAGGTAAGTTACTGAAATTAACATGCTCATATTGACTTTTTATTTTTGTGGGGTAGATAGAGAATTGGACTTGGGTCTAAGAGTCTTATATTCCAATCCCCCTTTTCGGTTTCTTATTTTTTTTCCCCTTTAAGATAAAGTAGTGGACAAACCAATGGAAGTAATAAAAGGTAAGTTACTGAAATTAATATGTTCATATTGACTTTTAATTTCTTTGGTGGATAGAGAACTGGACTTGGATTTGGGTACCCTGTATTCTAGTCCATTTTCTCAGTTTATTTTTTTTTCCTTTAAGGTAAAACAGTGGACAAGGTTGCAGACAAACCAAAGGAAGCAATTAAAAGTAAGTTACTGAATTTAATATTGCCTTCACAATGCCTTTCCACCTGTTTGGTGGATATGGGTTTGGGTTTGGTTATCTTGGGTTCTTGTGCCTTTGGGCAAGTCACATTCTCTTTTAGGTCCCCATCTGTAAATTGGGGATGATCATATTGTAATTCAGACGTCTGCTGGTTGGCTGATGCACAAAAAAGACCCACAAAAATACTATGCACAGTCATAATAATAAATTACTGAACTTTATATCCACCCTTCAAAATACTCTGACTTTTTAATATGACTGTTTTAATCCTGGCATATATCTCTGGGAAACATAGATGCAATTTTCTGAAATAATCTCTTGCCATTTCTGCTTCATTTTGGCTGGTAGTTGATTCATGGCTCGAATGGAACTAGGGATGCCTGCTGTCCCCTAAGTATGTCATGAAGTATTATTGGCAAGCAAGATGGATGCCAGCCAATGGGAAGATTCAACTGAGCTACTCATAAGCAAGCTGTTGCCTCCCTTATACAGTCAAATCTTGGGTTCTTGTGCCTTTGGGCAAGTCACATTCTCTTTTAGGTCCCCATCTGTAAATTGGGGATGATCATATTGTAATTCAGACGTCTGCTGGTTGGCTGATGCACAAAAAAGACCCACAAAAATACTATGCACAGTCATAATAATAAATTACTGAACTTTATATCCACCCTTCAAAATACTCTGACTTTTTAATATGACTGTTTTAATCCTGGCATATATCTCTGGGAAACATAGATGCAATTTTCTGAAATAATCTCTTGCCATTTCTGCTTCATTTTGGCTGGTAGTTGATTCATGGCTCGAATGGAACTAGGGATGCCTGCTGTCCCCTAAGTATGTCATGAAGTATTATTGGCAAGCAAGATGGATGCCAGCCAATGAATGTTGCGTGTGACCGCAGCCATAAGCAAGCTGTTGCCTCCCTTATACAAGCAATTGCCATGTACTATTCATCCAACCTAATAATTCATTTTTAGATCTGATTAGGATTAATGGTCACCATTAGGGTCCAAACAAGAACTGAGGATCTTTTTTTCACCTGATCTTAGAGTGAAGCATTATAATTAGGCTTGGTCCTTTGACTGGTGAGAACATAACTAGGGAAGGCAGGAATAAGGTGGATTTTGATAACAGGTGGGCTAATTAACAAGTACTTTAAAACATCTACAGATGAAAAGATATTCCTAAAACAGTTCATCACCTGCTGGGGCAGTGGTGTTGCTAAGGGAAGGAATACCCTTAATGCTTAGCAGCACTAACCAAGTCAGCTGCTGGAGTGGCCACTGAGGGAAGAGGATAAGTATCTCTTGGCACATTTAATATGCAAGTTAGGACAAACAAAAGAGGTTGTAGTGCTGGCCACGTTAGGAGCCAGCGTGGCATTGCCCAGAATGCTGATAGTGGGCTACCTTTTTTGTAGCCCATTCTTTGAAAGTGAAGGAAATAGTTTGATGATGCAGATCACTTGTTTGATTAACAAAACTTAGTTTAACTCACACATTTTTTCCCCTTGTGTCTTCATTGGCGGAGGTGCTAGTACACTGCTGCTGGTTGAAATGGGAATTCTGTCCTGTTCACATTGTTTGTTTCCCAATGCAGATGGCAGCCAAGCAGCCTCTTCTGGAAACAAAGAAGCTGATCAACTGAACCCAAGGGGAAAACCTCCATCGGAACAGCCAACAGAAGGTTAGATTACTATAGGGCACTACTGTAATACCTTCAGTGGGATTATGCAATGTTAAGTGTATGCAGAATGGCAGCCTTAAAATGAGTTGGCTATAACAAGATGGCTGCTGGAGTTGTTATTTTGGGCTTGTTCTCTTGGTCTATGGTTCTCTGCTGCCCAGTATCCTTCCTTCTTAGTATTTCTGCAATAGATGCAGAATACACAAACAGTCAGGGACTTCAGGGCTGGATGATGGGGGGAAAATGAAATGGTAGTTTTTATATTCAGAGCAACTGGCCCTGGAAAGGAGCAGAAATAACTGCAGGGAGTCCTCACAGACTTTCTATGTCCTTAGAAGGACAGGAGTCAGCTTTTCAAGATACAGTTCCATGGTACAAAACAACAACAACCAAAGGCAAACTAATAACAACCCCGCAGGAAAACAAAACAAAACAGAATTTCCTCAATTTAAATCAAGTATGCTTTTTGTTGACTTATGGGGATCTCGTTCAGACTGTGCGACTGAACAACAACAACAAGTTCAGAACTGCAAAACAGGCCAGCTTTTATTGCCACAAATTAAATGAGAAGGTGAATGCAAATCCTCATTGTGTTATGAAGCTCATGAGGTAAACATGAGCTAGTCACAATTTCACAGGGCTGCCATGGAGATAAAATGGGGGAAGAGCCAAGAATACTTCCCTGAACTGCTTGGTGGAAGGGTGGCATTAAAAAGCACAAACAGACAACCTTAATTCTGATGGAGTTTTGACTCTCAAAAGCTTATACCCTGGAAACTTTGTTGGTCCTTAAGGTGCTACTGGACTTAAATCTAGCTCTTCCACTGCAGACCAAAAAGACCATCCACATGAGAAAAAAAAAACTTCTCAAAATGCTTGTTTAAGTTTATGATGGCCCTGGTCACATGGGCGGCTTTGATCTGCAAGAGGGACGGATCAGGGGTGCATCAAGCGGGCGTGATCACACCACAACACCTGGGAAGCGGGACGCACCCGTCCCCAATCTGTCTCTTCCGGCCGAAGATGCGGATCAGAAAAAACCCTACAAAACACTAGTACTTACCGAAAAATACGCTGCAGGGGCGGATGTGTGATTGCCGGCGTGCCCGTCTCTCCCGCAGCATGCGAGGTCCTGCCGAACTGCACATGCGCACATATGCGCAGTGGGCTCACATCACTCTGCAGTCTGTGGATTCCCCCTGGCATCTGATCGTGCCTGGGAGGAACTGCACGGCGGCTGGGGGGATCTGTCTGATCCCGCCACCGCGCTTCTCTTTTGGTGCGGCTCAAAAAAGCCGCGCTTTGGCTGTGCCTATTTCCCCTAGTGTGACCGGGGCCGATACTGAAGATGCAAAGTGTTATCTTTCAGAGGCTGAAACCCAGTTTTGGGCTGTAGATTTCAATTGTTGATTTGTGGATTTCTCCTTTCTCATTTTTAGCGGCCAACGTTGGCTACCGCGTCCTACGTTTTGTCAACGTGGTGAGAAAGACTTATTCCTGCCTTTTGACATGGACATGGGGGACCATCAACAACTTCCTGTATAAATGCTGTGAGCTTACATTGCATCTGTGTTGATACTTCAGTGGCTATTGTATTCCTGAACTGAAGGTGGATGTTTGATATGCTATGGGGATTTTATTTCTTGGTGTCATTGTATTTATTAAGACAATGATATCCTACCTTTCCCTTTGTGGTTCAAAGCAGCCAGTTTCATGTAGTGGTTAAGAGCAAGGACTCTAATCTGGGAGAACTGGGTTTGATTTCCCCACTACTCCACACGCAGCTGCTGGTGTGACCTTGGGTCAGTCATAAGTTCTTTCAGAACTCTTTTCTCAAGGACAGTTCTCAGGGGAGCGCTCTCTGCCCCACCTACCTCACATGGTATCTGTTGTGGGGAGGGGAAGGGAAAGTAAGCTCCTCTGAGACTCCTTTGGGTAGTGAAGGGCAGGGTATAAATCCAATCTCTTTTCTTCTTCTTCTACAATTTGTCCTATTAAAACCACAATCATTGAGCAAATCATGACGCGGACTTATACTGAATCAGATCCTTGGTTCATCAAGGTCAGTATTGTCTACTTGAACTGGCAGTGGCTTTCCAGGGAGACAGAAATCTTTCACAAGGCCTACTGCTAGTTCCTTTAACTGGCAATGGCGGGGATTGAACCAGGGGCTTTCTGTATGCCAAGCAGATGCCCTACGGCTGTCCCATAGCCCCTCCCAATTTTTTTTCAAAGATATTTCACAGAAAATTCCATTGGTTATAAAAACTCACTCAGTGTCCCTCCAAAACAGCATGGCCTTAAAGCACTTTCTAAAAATGTTATCTCCACAGGGAGCCTCTTCCATAGAATTGAGGGGGGGGGGAGAGATATTGAAACACAGTAGGTTCATGTGATTTTTATCCTGAAACTTTGTTTCCCTTAATATTGTTAGCTGATGTTAATGCTCCTGCCTTGACAGAGGAGCCGGTCCTCAGTCTGATTGATGCTGGTTTGGCCATAAACACTGCTTACCCACTTATTTTGCACCCCGAGAGGAATGTCAAGCTGATCCTCTCTTTTGACTTCAGCTCTGGGGATCCTTTTGAGGTAAGCCAAGTTGATGAAAGGGTAGGCACCAAGGATGCTATTAAACACTGTACCCCTGCTGGTTCAACTCCCCCAGGCTTTGTTTGGATTTTGCTTCTCCTATGCACGCATCGAAGCAGTGCATATTTTCATACCAGTTTCTGTTCCTGCATGCTGAATTATTCCTTTAAATGTACCTCTTTTCTTGCTGATTTCTATTTCAACTGCTTGTAAATGAAGTGTAAGTACTGAAGATTGTATACATTTGTCTACATAGCTTAGGTCAAAGAAATGAACACATTGGAAACACCAGCAATAAAAAAAAAGAATGGAACAGAAAGAATCACAGAGATAGTATCAAAACCCCAAAGAAACCTATATCCCATATAGGCCTATAATGCCAGAATTATGGTTATTCTTTCTCCATTTCCTCATTGTCTCTTTTCTCAGTGTTTGATGATTGCAACCTTAGGAACAGGGACTAACCTCTTTAGGCTTATACAACTCTGTATGGTACCTGCTTCTTCTCTTAATCTTGCCCAATTCTCCTCATTGTGCAGACCACATCCCACATTACTTTTTGTCCATGGGAGGTCCCACAATCCCTAGTATAGACTTTTGGGGTGGTCAGAGGGGACCATTCCTCCTTTTTTCACCAGTGGCTGAATCCCACCCCCTTGCAGAGTGATAGTAAGCAGAACTCTACCCTTCTAAACCCATTGACTTCAATGGAAATAGAAGGGTGTGATTCTGCTTGTGATCTCATTGTTCCAGGAGTCATTACAAAAAAAACCCCACAACAATTTACTTCCTTGTCACAGCCCTTCATGTTTTATGGTGGAATAGTATTTTATTTATTTTTTATTTATTGAGATTTTTACCCCGCCCTCCCCGCGAAATGGGCTCAGTAATTTAGAAGAACTCTGCCGGATCATACCCATGGTCCATCAAGTCCAGTATCCTGTCTCACATAGTGGCCAACCAGTTCCTCTAGAGGTCCAACAACAAGCATAGAGGCTGAGGTCTCCCCCTGATGTTGCATCCAAGGACTAGTATTCAGAGTCCTACTGCCTTGGAATATGAAGGCTTCTTTTAGTCACCATGGCTAGTAGCCACTGATGGACCATGAATGTTTCTGATCCCTAGCTAAAGCCATCAGTGCTCGGGCAGTGAATTCTATAATTTAATTATTCATTGAGTAAAGAAGAATTTCCTTTTTGTTCCTCCTGAGCTTATTGTCCATCAACTTCATTAGCCATCCCTGAATTTTAATGCTGTAGAGTAGAATAAGGTTATTGTATATGACCATAGGCATTTACAATCCATTTGCAAAAGTTTTAATATTGTGGGAGAGGGACATGAGGCAGTGCAGTGTTGTTCTGTAAGGTCCCTTTCTGACTTTGCATTAGTGGTAGGTACCACAGCATGCTCTTTTCTGCACTAATCTGTATGTATCAGAAATATCTGATCCCAGAGGAACAGTTTTCAGCACAGATCTTCTACACTCTAATTCAATACATGGGACTGATAGTATGTGTGATGTCCTCCTAGATAACCTTGAGCTTCTGACATTCCTTAAGCAGCAGGGCGATGGAGCCATCGTCTATCTCCTGCTATTTCAGTGTTATAGGAAGAGTCTCTAAGTGCAGCATAAGAAGCAGCTTAATTCACGAATATGTGAATTTGGTAGTTTCCTCATGAAACTGAGAGTGTCTCCTTCCTTTTTGGTTTGTTCAGACCCTCAAAAAAACCGTTGACTACTGTAAAACACAGAAAATCCCATTTCCCAGGATCGATGAAAAAGAGCTGAATGACACAGAGAATCCAAGAGACTGCTACATCTTCAGAGGTGACAATGGCCTAACTGTCATGCATTTCCCACTATTCAACAAAGTCAACTGCCCAGGTAACTTGTGAAGAGGGTTAATATGGGGCATTTTGGATTGAACAGATTTGGTGGAGTGATTGTGGGCTCCATGTGAAACCTCTGATTGTGGGCTGAGTCTCCGTGTAAAAGGATGGAAGGAATGGTGCTAAACTCCGCCTTCCGTTATATCTTTAGGGAGGGGAAAGATCAGTAGTGAAGACAAGTACTGGATACAAGAACTGTGTTTATTGGAACACAACAGTCAGCTAACAAAACAGGCTGCAACTAGGCCTAAGTAACTCTAATTCCTCCTCCAGTTATGGTCACAAGATCTCAGCCTCTTCTTTCTGGGATTTATCCTTAAAGCAATAGTACCAGTATACCACACCTTCAAAATGGCAGAGCTAAGCTTTACTTTTCCTTCTGGTATCCAGCCCTTTAATGTGCTTATTGCTCTTTTTACAGCTGAATCCAGGTGCTTTGAGCACTGTGCAACAGCTCTGAAGAGGGGAATAGGGGAATAGGGGGTTGCCACTTGCCAGGCTATGGAGGCCTCACGGGATATTACCATCCCCTTACTGATTCTGTACCAATACTACAGAGGGGCTAGGGCCACAGTGAGCAGCATAGGGGTAGGGGGTGCTGCTGGCTCCCCACCCATCTCCACCCCACTTGCTGCCACTTCCAGAGTGGGGGCACCATTTTGCATCACTGTGTGGAATGCATCTCAGATTAACTTCCAAGGGAATATGCATTAAGGAGAGCTGAACATGAGAAATCCCCAGTAATCCCAGATTACTTTACATTCTCTTTCTCAGGAAAAATTAAGGAATACAGTGACCAATTTTCCACCTTCAAGAGGAACTACACCCGTGAAGAAACCGAAAAGCTCATCGTTGCAGCCAAGAAAAATGTCATCAACGTACGGCAAAAGATTTTGGAGGAGATCAAGCGTACTATGGGTTCACAATATGCTTAAGCAAATAGCCTCCAATTTAACCATTGCTTAAAGGCTGGTTTGTACAATATGGTGGCCAGGGGGGCGGGGTCGATTGGCTTTCTTTTGTGTTATTTTTTAAACCAGAGCATACTGCCAATCATCATCTGTGTGGTTCAGTGTTCAGCATGCATTGGACAATCATAGTCAAAAGGAAGTTTAATAATCAAAGAGCTTGGAAAACAATATGTCACTGTAAACACTGGAAATTGTTGCAGGCCATATCTTTGACCATCCGGTTTATGAATTCTCACATGGACACTCCTATGCCATGCTATATGTAAAATACACACAATGGAGCACAGTGTCACTTGGCCCTCAGTTCCACTCCATTTCATTGACTTCATACACTGTAGTTTTAGTCAGATAAACCATCTGTCTTTTTCAATATATACTGTCAAAATGTTGCTTGCATGTCTTGCTGGGCTTCACAGCAGCTTTTCCAAAGCCCTCCAGTGAGAGGAAAAATCCCAGTAAAGAAGGAACAAATCAAGTTTGCTGAAATAAGAAGAGATGCAAATTATTTTTATACCTTTTCCTGTTACGGTGGGCAGAACCAGCTGTGTTCTTACCCAGGAGTTCCTCCTCACTGGTTATCCCCAAAACTATAAATGTTTCCTATAAGCTTCAGATAATTTCCTCCAAGAATAAGAACTGGATATGGTGCCTGCAAGGACTTATTATCCATATGCCCAAGAGGGAAAAAAACCACATGCATATTAAGTAACATTTGAGGCTTTTTAAAATGAAAGGGATAATCTCATAATTGAAAAGTGATAGAGGAATTCTGATATTAAGATAAGATTTTTTTTCCAGCAGTTGCACAGGGAAGGTGAACTAGACAGGCTTGCCATATCCCAGGCGTGGTGGCTCTGACACTAAGCAGATACTTATCTGGAATGTTGTGAAACCACTTGAGAAGTTCATTATCTCAACCTCTGTCTAGCTAGGGGCACTGCATGTGGAAACAATCTTCAGCATGCATTTTTCCAGGTGGATGTGAAACCCACATGCACATACTAGTACTGGGGAGGGATTCTTTCCTGAGATCTAATAGCTAGCCAAAGTAAAGTTGTCTGTGGTATGGGTCCAACCTGTGGCTGCTGACACCATTTTAGAGAAAAATTTGGACACTGAAAAAATGTCACAAAAGCATGGTGGGACCAGGCAATCTTGTTTCCTTATCACACCTTTTCAAGTGCAGAAACAGCACTCCCATAGCTGTTTCAGTACTTGACAGGCACAGAGAAAGGGACACCACCTGCCCCACTGTACCACAAGCCCAGTCAGGATCAGGCCTTTGTAGCATTAAATGGCCAAATTCTTATCTAAAATAGTGTTGGCAGCCATGGGCTAAACCCATGGCTACTATAATATTAGTTTGTCCTTGAGCTCCTTCAAAAATGCTCAGATTCTGGCAGTCAGTTGTCCAGTGAGTGGGGCAATAGATTTTTCCTAACCAAGTCAACACCAAACAGCAGATCAGCAGGATTTTACCTATTTGGAAAGATCTACAACTGTGCAGTGTACTTTGATAGCTGCCATTTTTAGGTGCAATGGGTGCTTTATCAAACATTGCTAGGTATCAAAGGTAATAAAGGCCTTTTTTCCTCTCAGCAACTCAAAATAAAGGCTGAACATTTCAAAGTATGTTTTGGTCAGAGAAAAACTTATTTAGCAAGCAAAGGTACAAAAGAAGAGTTTTGAAACTATCATGCAAACACCAAGTGATCTATTCACAGAACTTTATGGGAAAATGGATGAGCTTAGACTTTGAAAATAACTGCTGGATTTCAAGAAGACTCAAGAACAACAGTGACATCTACAGGGTAATTAGTTTGCTGCTTTATCACCATCATTCATCTAAATGTCAATCTGGAATTTGTATCAGAGATCATTAAAAAGTCAAGAGGAATGTTCATCACCCCACAAAACTCATTTGAGCCAATTACAAATGCAAAACAGATGAGCTAAATGCATAAATTATGGAAGCAGATTTTGCCTGCATGAGAAAATGGCAAGTTAGTCATTTGATCCATTTTAATACCTCATTTGATGATGAAGTTGTATCGACTGGCATAGCTGCTGTTAAGATAAATATGAACTCTGGCCAGATTACTTTAATATCTCTTTCTCTTAATTGTTCCTCTTAATTTTAGAAATTCTGTTTCCTTAAAGTAAGCATGCCTGTCTGTTAGCTTCTAGAATGAATGATAAGATACTTAACCCATCTCTTTTCCCTCCCTTTAAGATACTATTTACTTAATCATGTATCTGTTAATTTCCTTGAAATATGGTAACACAGCAGATGCTATATTAAGCATTTTTTATATTTAGTAAAAACATTTATAACATTTCCTTTTTGTCTGATTTCTGACTCAAGAATATTTGGTGAACATGTTCAATAAAGCAATAAAACGTGAAAGGGAAAAAAATGTAAACTTCACCAACCCTTCATTTCCCTTTCTCCTTCTCTTAATGTAGTAGGTAGTGAAAGAATTATTTGAGTCTTCTTGTTGCTGTTTTCCCACATGTGCTCTGGATAAAATTGTATTGTGAACCTTCTGTCAAATAGTCCAGAAACTATCAACAGAAGTAGTTCACAGTTTGTACCACTGGTATCTCATTACAAGGGTGTGTGACACTGAATGAACAAATTACTTCTAGGATTGGAACAGACTTGATTGGGGATGTTGCCCATGCAAAAAGATCCAAGTAATCCTGAAATAATTTTCCAAAGACTGTTACAACTAGCAATAATTGGTGTTTATCACAGTTTTGGAGGCTACAAATGGGAACCACATTCCCTCTACTTCAAAGAGATCCCACTTCCATACAACTAGTTTCCTAATATATGTCTACAAGTGAAGAGGAGGTTAGGCTTCTAATAAATCCAAGAGCATGAAGACTGCTACTGCATCACTACCTGTTAAGTTTTTTTCCCCAGTGGGTAAAATAATGGGGTGGATCCAACCAGCTTTTCCACAGATGAAAAAGAGATGAAGGTTGCCTTTGAACACCAAGAAGACTATGCAGGAGGTATGCCTGGACAAGAGTCATGTCATATGGAGGCTGTAATAAGGAGGGGAATTGAGCAGAACTCAGTGAAAGAAGTAACTGGGGTCCCCCATTTTTTGGGGGGGGTTCTACCCGCCCCCGGCCAGATGGCTGGCGGGGGAAGCCCTGCCCCAACACCCACCCCCACCCCTCTCTCTCCCTTTAAGTGTGTGGAACCCATGTTTCCTCTCAAGCCTGTGTTTCCTCCCAAGCCAGATCTGTTGCAAGGAAATGCCAGCTTCGTGCTCTTAAAAGGGAAACGCGGCTGCTCTTAAAGGGGAAACGCCGGCTCCTGCATTTAAAAGGGAAACGCTGGATTCTTTAAGTGCAGGGAACTGCCGTTTCTGGAGATCCGAAGCACGGGCGGGTGTGGGGGGGTGACGG